TCTGTCAGGGCTGGAGCCCCAGTGGTATGCAAAGCATTTTCTATTCTGTTCAGCAGAGACACATGGTAACGGCTACAGGTGCTCAAGCACCGTGGACACAGAGGAGTTTGCCTGGCTTTTGTTTGAGTATGGGGCACACGCGCCTCTGATTGAAGTGCTAGCCATGCTTCAGACCGTAATGAACAGCTCTGGGAAAGGTGGGGTGACAAAGGCTGCACTGTTCACAATGAAGAACATGTACAGTTTGTACACTCGGCTGTTTAGACACACTGTGTCAAAGGGCTACGATAGCTTCATGAGAGTGCGTGAGAGAGCTCTGAGAGTGCGCAGGACGCAACATGAAATGTATGTACCTCTAACCACAGGCCTAGGTGAAGATCGGGATGCTGACCTAATACGAGGTTCTCACTCGCTTAGGAATACAGTACTGCATTCAGTACTGGAAAGGTTTGAAGCTCCTCCAGCACACTTTGGTGGCAGTAAGCTCAAAAACTCTGGGCCACCAGAGAGAGCAACTCACCAAGATGACCCATTTCAGGTGGATCGGTCTCTGTCTACTTTGGTGCACCAAAGAAATTTGGACTCTCTAGTGACAGCGCGTGGAGTCACCTCATCGGCTGAGGAGCAGATGCCTTTAGCGGGCTTATTCCCTTTAAAAGCAGATGGGCCCGTAGAAAAGAAATGTGTGCTTTTCCACTCACCACCTGTATAGAAGCACCCCACACACATACACACACACACACACACACACACACACACACACACACACACACACACACACACATTCATTTACAGCAGAAAATGATTTAGCACACTGATGATCTGTAACTCCTTTCTCAGGGCAAAAGGTCTAATGTTACTATGTGTTTATGTGGTGTCTTTAGGCTTACAGACAGTAGTAGCAGTAGTAGTAGTAGTAGTAGTTCTTTTTCTTCAGTTTAATGCATATTGCTTTAGTTTTCTTCAAAGGTGTGTGTGTGTGTGTGTGTGTGTGTGTGTGTGGAGTCCCACACTAAAAGTCTGTGGTGAACAGAGAGAGACAGAGGTGGTGACTATTACCTGCTCAGCTGTCACGCCCTGTCCTCTTCACTTCCCTCGGCTCAAGTGGAACCTCTGGCCAAACCGTGAGAGGACTGTTGTTACAGACCACAAAATAGTCACGGACGCACAGGGGACATATATATATATATATATATATATATATATATATATATATATATATATATATATATATATATATATATATATATATATATATATATAACACTACAATCACACGCAGCGTGACTCTGACAGAAGCCCATCGTGGACTCCTGATATGGTGTAGAGCTTCCTACATTGTGAACGACGGATTAATAACTAGCCACACTAGCATGATTCTCAATGTCTCACGTGAGTCCACCACACTCATTATTTTACCATGTTACTTGGTTATTTAAGTGTGTGTGTGTGTGTGTATTATGATACAGAATTCATAAAGCATTGTTTTTTTTATTTGTCATTTGGATTTATGCTAATATCTACATCTGTTCAAAGGTGCTGCAGCCCTGAAGCCTATAGAACATAATGACCACATGACAAATACTACTACTACTACTACTACTACTACTACTACTACTACTACTACTACTACTGCTACTACTACTACTACTACTACTACTACTGACTACTACTACTACTACTACTACTACTACTACTACTACTACTACTACTACTACTACTACTACTACTACTACTACTACTACTACTACTACTACTACTACTACTACTACTACTACTACTACTACTACTACTACTACTACTACTACTACTACTACTACTTACTACTNTCACGCTATCACGAAGGCGTACACTCGGTCAATTCTGGAGGCAATCAGTTTCTGAACACCCTACTGCAAAATGTTCGACTGTACCCGGAAGAGTACCCCACCTATTGGCTTCTGTTAAGAAAGGCCAGCAGGGTCTGCTCCCGCTATTTTCGTGCAGTCATGAGAGCAGCAAATGTAGAAGAAGAAGAAGAAGAACAACAACAACAAGAAAAAGAAGGAGAAGGAGAACAAGACCAACCAGCACCACTACCAGTTAACCGGCAGGAACACTGTGACATACGAGTGATCTTTGAAATGGATCGAGATCGCAAAGAGTTCAGAAACATTGTGACTACAGAGGACTGCCCCCCACCAATGAGAAATGCAGTGTCTCTAGGGACTGTAGACTTTGACCTTGAGGAAATGTGGAAAATTTTAAAGATACACTCTGCCTACGTATTCTGCCTCGCTTTTGCGCCTGGCCATAGGTTTACACTGGCAGTGTCGCCGTGAATGAAGCGAAATGAAGCAGCACCAGTCTGAAAAGTTTTTGCTTTGCTAGTAGTAGTAGTAGTAGTAGTAGTAGTAGTATTATAAGACATGTTTATCTTTTATGTATTACAGTGATTATTGTCATGAATGTAATAAACAAAATGAATCACAAAGGCTTGAGTTTACATTTAAAGAACATTTATTTTCATGAATCCTCAGTCCTGAGTTTCCTGCAAAGGTCTGACCACGGGTCAAGTTCACAAAAGGCTCGGCTCAAGACTGAAGATGCTTTCTCGCCTTTTGGTATCACAGTGTCCAGCACGTATCGGGCTTTGTCTTGTTTGCTCTTCTTTTTTTCCGTGCAGTTTACTTCCTCTGGGGTCAGGACCTTCTCCTGCTCAAGTTTATCCAGGAGCTGGTTCAGCACCTCTTCAGACACTCTCTGCACAAACTCAGAACGCATCGACTGGAGCTGCTGCACAGCACTGACTCGGGGACTGACCCGGGGCCTTTGGTCTTCACCCACAGTGACCTCTGAAGCACAGAAACAGACCTGATCAGAGCAGAGAAACAACAAACACACAACAGAGAAACACCAAACACACAACAGAGAAACAAACACACAACAGAGAAACAAACCCAGCAGGACAATAACATGTGACTGACCAGTCAGATTCAGCTCGTGTCTCCAGACCTCTGTGTTTTTTTCTGTGTTCTCTGTGTCCTCTGTGTTCTCTGCTCTGTTGTTGTACTCTGTCAGTGAGATGGACA